GCTGCGTCCTCTCTGGAACACTAGGGGAGACGAGGGGGCAGAGGTGCATCCGGGAGAAAGTTCGGGGATGCTGCGTGGCGCGCCGGGGGAAAATGCAACCCGTTTGGGCCACGTCGTTACTCCGGGAAGCTGCCTGGAGAGCCCGCGCTGTGCGGGAACCTGCCAGCATCTCCACGCCGGGCCTGCGATCCCCTTCCGTGGCCACCTGACCACTGGCACTCGCGACGTAGAGCCCCGTGGCGCCCAAGCGCTCTGCCCCGCGGCGGCCCGCGCAGCTCTCACCCAGCGCCAGCCCAGCCGCGCCGGGACGCGGCGGACTCCCTGCCGCTGGCTGCGCCCTCGCGTCTCCCGTCGAGGAGGGAGGGACACAGGCTTGCCCCCGGATGCTCTCTGGCGGTGGTCGGGTCGCCCCCCTCGAGGCTCGCTCCCCCCTCTCAGCTTCGCCAAATCCCTGAAAGCCCCGGCCCCCTTCGTCACCCCGGGGGCTTCTAATCACTCCGTATCGATTTCCCTAACTCTTTTCATCCAGTTGAAGACACATCTTAAAACACTCCAGCCCGGAGTGTGCTCTGGGCTTTATCCACACTAATAAAATGATTTACCCTTCTCTCTGCGCTCTCCTCACTGAGGAAAATCGTTCGAGCCCCGGCTATTTGTGTGTGATCAGTAAATATTTAGTGCGGTGACATCCTCAGCTAGGCTTCTGATCGATTCGGGGCCCACCGGGAGGTGCGCACGGTCAGGGCGGGGCCGCGCCGAGCCCGCCGAGGGGGCTCCTCCCGCCCTCGCCGCTGGCCGCTGATTTACGGCCTCTGCAACCAGCAAAGGGGGGCGAAAGCGCGCCGGGAAAATTGGCTTTTCAACCTTTTCACTTTTGACATTCAGCTGCCTCCCCAGGCTCTAATTCTCGCCCTACTCCCCCCTCCTCACCCCAACCAAGGGCGCCCAGTGCGCCCTGCGCGCCCTTCCTGCGGCAGCGCGCTGCGCTCGCGCCCCCGAGGCCCGGGGACCACCTAGCACAAGCCTACGCCTTGACACGGGGAGGCCCAGTCCCCTGCCCTGGGAGTCGTCGCCTTCGGGGCGAAATGCACTCTGCCCGCCCACACCTCAGAGGGTGGAGGGGTTGTGGAGAAGCCGAGAGCTGCGGTGGCCCGGACGGGGAGCCACTGTCCTCGCTACCTTTTCTCCGACCCTCAGTCTTTTCCCCACTTCTGTGGCTGGTCCTCGACGCCCCTCGGGCCGGATGGCGTCGGGCGGGAACTTTACTTTCCTCGCAGAGACGCTCCCGTTTCCTTAGAAGCGGAAAAAGCGCTTAGCTTGGAGGAGTTGGAAGGGGGCCTCCTACCCTGATCTTGGCTGCCAGAGGGTTGCGGCCGCGGCAGTGAGAGTGTCCTCACCCCCACTGGCCTCCCCGCGGCGCACACTCCTTCCTTATTTCAGGGCCGCGCCCTGAATCTAGACACCAGGCAATGGGCCGACCTGGAGTAAGGCATGACACGCTCTCGCCCCCTCCTACAGACCCACCACCTCGGGCCGCTGCCTTGTCAGAGGAGGAAGATGTGAAAGATACTAACCCCCTGGGCTCCACCGCTCTGCAGTCGGGGGCACGGGCCTGAAAAACTCCAACACTGTTGCCCACCTGTTAGCGGCCCTGATCCCCTCTCACCTGAGGCCGAGGCTTCTGCAATTCCCCCCGGGTCCAGGGAGGGAGGTGAGCCACATCGCTGGTTCACGCACCCCTCCCCAGCGCTAGCACCCTCTCCTTTGTCGCACACGTGATTTTCTAAACCACTTTATCTGCAGACTATATCTTTATACTAATGCATACTTAATTGGTCCGTCTTGACTGTCCATATAAAACAATTTAATTAGGGTGCTTTCTTGCTTTGGAAAGCAAAGAAAAAAATCTGCCCAGTGCTTATTGTATTTAGCACCAATACAGGCAGAAAATGTAGCACAAGTTTTTGGTTGAAAGAGCACCTCTGTGCCCATTGAAGGGCGTTGATCCGAAAAGACAGAAAGGACAAGTAAAATCGATTTGAAGCGACCCTCTCTGTCCCTTTCACACCATTCAGAAACTCCATTCCTTCTAAGACAAAGACCAGAGCCTTGGGAATTCTCAGGGAAAAAGAGGACTCCAGTCCCACAAGCCTAGGGCACTTTTTAAAAACCTTCAATATTGCACTTAAAACCCGCTCTCGGTTCTGTGCCCCCTCCATGCGGGTTTCACTGGCACCCTCTCCAAAGCGTCAGGCGGCGTGGCTGACAAGCCCCCACTCCTCTGCGGGCTCGGCCTTCTGGCCAGGCCGGACCAGGCTTTTAGGGTTAGTGCAGCCCTCACCTTTGACCCCCAAGATCGAAGTGGCTGCCACACTGCAGAGTGCAAAGCTACAACCCAGGCCAGAGTTAAAACAAAACAGCAAAATATTTCTCTACTCCCAAACCCAGGGAAACCAGTTCTGGTTCAGCCGCCTGAGCCACCTTACCCAGTAATACCTCACTCAACTTTTTTTTTCTTCTTCTTTTGCAATGAACTGCCCTAGCCCCCTCTAAAGCAGGGAACTTGGGTTGTCAGGGCTGCATCGCTGGGTAGCGGTGAGTTGTCCTCCATTAGGAACCCAAACACCAGGTTATCCGACAGGCGCCCTGGCTGGGGAAGGCAGTCATCGATCAGACCTGGCAGGAAAGGGAGGAGGGAGAGGAGGAGAGAGGAGGACGAGGGGAGGGGAGGAAACAGGCTGAGCTGTGATCACCTTCACCTGCCCTGAGCCCGGCCCCCCTGTTCAACTATCCCTCGACCTTCTGCTGGGGTTAAAGGGGGCGGGGGTGAAAGGGAGGGGGGCATCCCCAGTTACACAAGTGGCCTCCTTCTATAAGAGAATGAGTTCATCACCTCCCCAGAGAAGCCTCACCATCCATCCACTCGTATAACTGATGAGACAAACCACAAGGAAAAACTTCTGTAGCCCATATTTATGGTATTAATGAATAGTTAAAAAAAGATTTACACTTCTTATGATCAATATTCTGAGTTATTTCCCTCAAAGTATATAATTACAGTGTCTTCAGAGTTTTCATCATTGTTTGAGGTGGCAAAACTATTTGTAATTTTCATTAGCCAGTAAACATGTAATTAACATTCAGCACTGTGTTTAACTTAATTCCTGTTTAAGACAAGGACAAGAAGCAGCCGAAGAGGGTTAGTTCCATTTGTCAAGTCTGACATACATCTTACCATAACAGTTTCCTAAAATAAAAGATCCGTGTTTCCCCATTATTCTTCTCTTAAAACAAAACAAAAAAATTCCATTAGTTAAAACGGTATTAAACTGCGAGGGGAAGCATAGTTTATTCTCAAATTTTGCTAGTTACTGTATTCCTGCTTCCTTTATTCATTTTGGGAGGTGGATGTAGAGAGGGGGTGAATTAAGCATGCATTATCTGAAGACAGAAAGTGGGGAAACCCCTCCCCCCAAAGAAATAGGTTTCCTCTTCAGGAAAGTTCTAGAAGGGGAACTGGGAAGGGGGGACATGAATCTGCAGGGGAGAAGGAAAAATCACTTGGGGGGGGGTTGAGTTAAAAGTAGAAAATGAGGATTTCAACGGATTCCTAGGAAAGATGTTGCCCTCCTGTTTCAAGTTCTATCTTTGATCTAGGGTGAGGGGAGCCTGTCTGCCAGTCTGCGAGGCTGCTGCTTTTTTCCCCTCCTCTCCCACCTCTGTTTTTTTCCAACTTGCTTTAGGATTAGCCTCCATCCCTCTCGACCCCAAACAGTGGAATTTGGCTGTGCCTTGGGTCGTCTTTGCTCTGCAATATCGCCTATAGTTGTTGGCGGTTTTCTGCTGAGGCTGAGCCGTTAGCTCCAGCCTCCGACTAAACTCATTAAGTTGGGAGATTTTTTTCAATTGGACGGGTGTTTTTAAAGTCTCGTCTTTCCAGCCCCAAACAAGGTGTAACAACGCACTCTTCCTTCTAAGGAATGAGATGAGAGACAAGGATCACTCCAGACATCTCCTACCTACGGTTTGGGGTTTTTTTTCTTAAAGGCGAGGCTTGCATTCCTCAGCAGCTATGTACAAAGCTCCCTGAAACCTCGTCTCTCTAAAGTTACTGTGCAGGGCTTTCCAAGGCTGAGAGCGCCTAATACATGGGGAAGCACTTCCCTGAGGTGGAAGATCTCTCCCTTCACCTTTCCTCTTTTTCCCTGCAGGCTAGTGCCTACTTTTTATCAGTTTGCACAATCGCTTAGATAAACACCGAGGAGGAGATTCTCTTTAATTATCAAAGACACATCTTTTCAGGGGGCCAACAAAGCATTTATTTCACCCGCCAAACTAAAGGAGAGTTATTCCAGTTTAGAAGGAAGATGCAAGCGGTTTGGGACCTTGAACAAGGCAAATATGGTTTTGGTATGTTTACTTACAGTATTTTTTTCTCTCTCTCTCTCTCCTTTCTCACTTTCCTCCTTGTGCTGTGTGGGGTTGGGGATGACTTGGGGATTTTCAAAAAATCGGATTGCTAACGTGTATGAAATGCCTAGGACTGTGGTTTAAGGTGTTCGGGGAAGGGGGGACAGTCAATTCAATGCCTTGCCATATTTTATTACATGTGTGCGGTAGGAGAGGTGGTGGGGGGCGGGGAGAAGGGGAAAATACAATTGCGAAGCTGCCAAAATATGATTAAACCGAAGCGTAAAGACTGCGGTGCCTCCCATCTCCTCAAACTCATTTCCTTCGCTAGAGCAAACTAAAAACCAGTCCTATAAGCGTGTTTTTCCAAGCAATAGACGACTCGGTTTTCTAGCAAAGGAGCTGCTAGGCTCGCACTAAGCGTCAGAATTTACTGTTCGATCTGCCTCTGCGCTGTATTTTGCAACCTTGTGCAACTGACATCCAGCCAGGCAGGGAGGGAGAAAAGCTCTGCCCGGCGCCCTCGCCCGCGGCTCGGGGAGCAGAGCGCTCGGTTAAGCTAGGAGAATCGCAACGAGAAGGGTACTCACCATCGGGCGGGGTAGTGGAGCTGGCGTGCGGATTTCAGGCAAACGTTTACCTTTTTGCTGTCTATTACAACCGTGTCGGGCTGACTTAAGCAATTCTGTGCTCTGTCCAGAACGTTCAAGGAACGGTTCCTCATTTTTAAAAAGCCAGCGAGAGAGACGACAGAGACAGAGAAAGAAAAAAGAGAGGAGGGGGTGAGGGGGACGCGCATAAACCCAGTTCAGAAAAAAAAAAAAAAAAATCATCACCTCTCCGGCAGTGACTCAGGAAACGCAGAGGTGGCGAGATCGGAGTCCGGTCCAACCAAGCCAGAGCCAATTAATTTTAAACCCTGAAGAATTATTCAGATTAAAATGTACAGAAGTTTCATTCTGCTATGCCTACGTGAGCTCAAAGTCGTTTCCCTTTAAGAGCTCTTTTCTTTTAAAGTTGCGTTTTAGGCAGCGAGGACTCTTACACTAGGGGGCAGACAGATACTGTACTTGCTCCAATCTTAAGCAATTTTTTCCCTCCCAGCATATGCTCTGATTTAGCACTGTAAATTTTTCAGAGGACCCAACTCTGACAGCCCCTGGTGATTTTCAAAGTACCACAAGCCAGTGGTTAAAAATTGCATTGACTTGGAAGTTCAGAGAGACACAATGGAAGCCCCTTTCTCTATTCATGGAGCTCCAGTGTGGTGGAAGAGAAAAACACACACGGACTAGATTGAGGGGAAGGAGGAATTCAATGAATCCTGGTGGACAGAACTGGTTTCTACTGAGTTCAGAGTTAATCTCGACATTTGCTGAGGTCTGTATTCATATTATGATTTAATTTGTGGAGAATTACAGCCACTTTCTGGAAGAAAATCATATTCCTGGGTGGCTTTTTTTCCCCCTACAGTAAAACAAATGTTTTTTCAACTTTCTCCGGCCAAATTAAAGCTTGCCATTCTTCTCATTAAAATAAATTTACATCTACAATAAAAGACTGGGCTGGATTTTCTTAAAAAAAAAAAAACAGTAACAACATATTGATATTTATCTTTTAGCCTTAGAGCTGTTTTAATCAAGGAATATGAGCATCTCAGAAGAAGACATTTTAAAATATTTTCTCCTTGTTTTTCTTCTCAGTCTGCAGTCTTCTCTCTTCTTCTATACAATAAATTAACTACAATTGAAATGGTCATTTTTTTGTTGTTTTTGTTTTTTGGCTTTTTAATAGCACCCCCATAACTGAATGAGTCCTAAAATACAGAGTAAAACACCTCTGACTTATTGGCAGCCCTGTGGTTGTATGCCTATCAGGATCCAGAGCTGTAGGAGATGGTTGGGAAATCCTTCATTTTAAATCTGAAGCCATCAGAGCGTACTTCAAATACCAAAAATCTCAAAGTGTCCTGGAGAAGCTCTTCTTCCTCAAAAATTTCCGACTGCATGTTTGTAAAAGGTGCTCTTGCCATGGAAGTGTCTGCACCCAAGAGGCGAGTTTAGGATTTCCTTATAATCAGTTATATCTTCTATTAAATTGAGATGGGGATGCCCATTAGATTTTCTATCTCAACCTCAGCCCTACCACATCTCTGCTGAGTTTGCCCCTAATCTACTGACATTTGTAGCATTAGGAAATTCCTCAAATCATAGAGGTTGAAAAGAAAAAGAGTAAAAAAAAAAAAAAGCACAGCCTTCTCCGAAATGATTTCTTTTCCATCCTTCTCGTCCTCTTTAGGAGAAAGTTATATTGTGTCTCTAATCAACCTGAAATTTTCTGCCTGGCTTTGCTCTATGGCAATCTCATTACACACCAGGTTTATGATAGCTCAGTGTCCACTATAGTTCTTTTTTTTTTTTTTTTTAACAACTTCCAAATAATCCCAGCACCTGCAGCCTTAGTGAAATATGTGATTTCAGCGGAGGAAGGGTGAGGGCTAAGGAGGTTTCAAGAATGAAGCATAAGGAGAATCTTTCCTTCCCTATAAACTAGTGCCTATCTGCCTACATCTTCATTTAGTTCCTACCTCGTATTCTCCCCATGTGTGTAAAGGGTATTGAGTGCAAAGTGCAATCTATACATGTCAGTTATATGTATGGTTTATTATTTTTTAATCCTTCATCACTCCGATTTTTTAAACTATCAAGGATGCTTTCCTATGGTCATTAATTTACTCTTTGTGTTCATGTTTCCTGAAGCTCAACATGTTTTGTGTAAAATATCTTGTTCATAAACCTGGTTGCATTACCAGTCTACAGTTTTTTCTTGGTGCAAAGAGTGTATGATGGAGTCACAGTTTTGTTCTATAAATTTTGAATAATCATAATCCACTAACTGGTCAAAATCCAACAGACAGGTTACTGATTTGGAATACAGTGTGTTCTGAGGGGCAATTCTAGATGTTTGATGTTTAAAACCGAAAGCCCTGGAATTCAGAGACATAACTGGCTTGATGATTTTAGCACATTGAGCAGAATGGCACAGGAGATGAAGTTGTTCTCATTGCAGTGAATCTCCTGAGGAAGAATATGGCTTGTGCGTGATTCCTGTGAGTTGTACTTGTTATTATTCCCAATTTGGGGCAGAATCTCTGGGTGTGTTTTAATGACTGTATGAATGCTTAAAAGGAACTTGAGGAACAATGAAGTCGTACTCAACTGTTCTATTACCTAGAAGCATAGTCGCTGAAGCCTTTGTCTGTGTACATTGACAAATGCGCATCTGATATATGTGCGCTTACATATGTGTACAGAGGGTATGCACAGGGGACGCTGGGAGGCTGCCTCCGCTTGTCCATCAGCGGGCAGAAAGGTCTTTTCACCTCTCACCACGACTGGGTGTGTGGCAGGACGTGGGCTTGGGAGTTAGCTGAAACTAACGAGAGAGGATAAAGTTGAAGAAAATTGATTTTAATTGCATCATGACAATGAGATGAAGTCTATTTCTGCTTCTCAGCATCCGAGATGCTTTATTTGAGCAATTAAAATGTCAGGCCACATTCCTGTGAAATGTTAACCCTACAAGGAAAACACAGCCACTGACGGCTCCTTTTCTCTAAAAAAACGAAAGAGAGAGAGAGAAAGAAAGAAAGAAAGGAAGGAAGGAAGGAAGGAAGAAAAGAAAGAAAGAAAGAAAGGAAGAAAAGAAAGAAAGAAAGAAAGAAAGAAAAAGAAAGAAAGAAAGGAAGAAAGGAAGGAAGGAAGGATGGAAGAAAAAAAATAGCCACCAAACCAAGCAAGTGATCAGAGTAGACTAAGGGAAGGGTCTACCATCACCCGGATTTGACCAAATGTTTCGTTTGGAAAATGCCTGCAAGCTCGGTTCGAGGCACCTTCCCATCCTCACCCACTACCCCTCTGCAAAGAAACCGGGGAACTTTTCTTTCTCTGGTACTGTGGGCATAAAGATGCGCTGGGAGTCCCGGGTGGTGCGCGAACAACGGATTTGGTGGCATCGCCAAGTTGCGAGAGTCGAAGTCCTCGATTCCATCCAAAGCCTCTCGCGGAGCCTTTAAGAGGCGTTGTGTGTGCGCGCCGCGGTCCTCTCCCCTCTGGAGCGGAAACCTCGGGTGCGGGGTGCGGACAGAGCCGTGGCCGCGCGCCCGGGGCCAGTGTGGGCCCATCCCCCGCTTGGCAGTGGCGGCGGCACAGCCGCCCCCTCCCCGCCCCCCTTCGCCCCCCGCGCCAGGGCCGCGACACTGCTCGCGCTAGGACCGGGCTGAGCCCGCGGCCGCCATGGCGGGGCCGCCGCGCTCCGGCCAATGACTGCGAGGGGGCGGTGCGCGCGCGCCTGGCCAGGCCAACCCCGGCTGCTGCCTTATAAGGCGCGCCGTCGCCATGGCAACGTGCGCTAAGTTGCAGCAGTCGTGTCAAAGTTCACTATATAGAGAGCTCAGTGAGCTGATCGCGGAGAAGCCACTTCTGCCAGCCCCGGCGCCTATAAATCGCATTCCCTCCCGCGCCCCCCTTTTTAGCATATTTGATCACTTTGATTCTCTGTTCTTTTCTCTCCGCGGTGTGTGTGTGCGTGCGCGCGTGTGTGTTTTCTTCTCCTCCTCCTCCTCTCCCCGAGTTGTCTTCTTTCTCCGGGTGCCGTGCTGCCTTTTTTCCCCTGTTTCATTCTTTCTCTCCGTCTTTTCCTCCCCCCTCTGCGCACGAAGGATGTGCTTCTAGGTGGTGATCTGCCCTCCTCTCTCTCTTTTATCATTTCTCCCCCGCCGCCGGCGAGTTGACTCTTTCCCTATGTGTGTGAGGCGGCGGCGGCGGCAGCAGCAGCAGCGGCTCCGGCGGCGGCAGCAGCGGCTTCAGCGGCGGCGGCGGCGCTAGACGCGGCGGCTCCGGGCCCGACCCGGCGGCTTCGGCGGCGGCGGCGGCGGCTCCAGCGGCGGCGGCGGCCCAGGCGGCCCGCAGGGAGCGGCGAGCGGCCTCTATCCGGCGAAAGCGGGCGGCGGCGGCCGGAGCAAGCGAGGCGCGCGCCGGGCGCCTGTGGCAGGCGGCGGCGGCGGCCCAGCGCCAGGACGACGCCGCGCAGCGCCCGACGCGGACCACTTTCATGCTGATTCCCCCGGACCCGGGCAGCGCTCCGGCCACTCCGTGGGCCGCCGGCCTCCGCCCCGGCCTGCCTGGCTCTCTGGGTGCGCCCGAGACCGGCGCCTCTGCTCTCCTAGTCCTCCTGATTTCGATGGCTTTCCTGAATGGCTGACTGTGGGCTGCCCTGGACTTGGCCCCCGGACAGTCGCCTCTCCTCCTCCACCTCCTCCTCCTCCTCCTCTTCCTCCTCCTCCTCCAACTCCTCGGCTGCACACCAGCTCTGAGAGCGAGAGAGTGAACGAGAGAGGGAGGGAGAGAGTGAGAGCGAGGGAGATCTTTGGAGAGATTTTTTTTTTTTTTTTTTTTGCCTCTTACTTCTGTCTTGAAGCCAGACAATCGACTTGCAGCTCTCCCTCCCCTCCCTCTCTCTCCACGTTCTGCTCCCACTTGCTCTCCCCCGGCCCCATCCCCTCCCCTCCCGGCGGAAAGCCCCCCGAAAGCAACAAAGCTGAGCCGAGAGAAACAAACAAAACAAACACACCGGGCCAGACAAGCAATCGACAAAACTTTGCAAAGCAGAAACAAAAAAGGAAAAACTAACCAACCTCAACCAACCAGACCCCGAGCCACCCGGGGCGCCCTCTCGCACCCTTGCACACACAAAAGGCGGCGCGCCGGAGCCCGAGACCCGGGAGCCGCCGCCGCCAGCAGCCAGGGGAGCAGGAAGTCCGGACGCGGCCCCCATAGATATGGCAATGGTAGTCAGCACGTGGCGCGACCCCCAGGACGAGGTGCCCGGCTCTCAGGGCAGCCAGGCCTCGCAGGCGCCGCCTGTGCCCGGCCCGCCGCCCGGCGCCCCGCACACGCCACAGACGCCCGGCCAAGGGGGCCCGGCCAGCACGCCGGCCCAGACGGCGGCCGGCGGCCAGGGCGGCCCTGGCGGTCCGGGCGGTGACAAGCAGCAGCAGCAGCAGCACATCGAGTGCGTGGTGTGCGGGGACAAGTCGAGCGGCAAGCACTACGGCCAGTTTACGTGCGAGGGCTGCAAGAGCTTCTTCAAGCGCAGCGTGCGGAGGAACCTGAGCTACACGTGCCGCGCCAACCGGAACTGTCCCATCGACCAGCACCACCGCAACCAGTGCCAGTACTGCCGCCTCAAAAAGTGCCTCAAAGTGGGCATGAGACGGGAAGGTATTGGCCTCTCATTTCTACCCCCCTCGCCTGGGGTCCCGGGGCCCTGGGTGCGTTTGGCTAGCCTGCTCTGGGTAAGGACACGGAAGCCCCAAGCTCTTCTCTTCGTATTGCAGCTGAAAGGGGTTTTATACTAGAAGCAAGTTCTGCATTGGAACCCAGATCCCCAAATCCGCATGCTTTGGCCGACTGATTTCCTCTTCTACTCTCTCTTCGGGCTCTTTTAATTTTCTTTGCATTGACTGCCAGTTCATTCGAGTTCGCCTTTCTGCAAGTGATGGGGTGTTGTTTGTTGTTGTTGTTTTAAAGCCTGGTTTACTTCTCTTTCCTCTCAGTTTTTTTTCTCTCTCCTTGTTTTTCCTGCATGTTCAACACATGTCCCTCCTCCCCACCCCTCTCCCCAGCCCCCCCCCCCCCAAAAAAAAAAACCAAAAAAAAAAAAACCCAACAACCTGAGATTGTACTTTTGTACAGGAGGTTCAAATTACAAATGGCAATTTTACGCACTTCGCCGTATTAACGCTGCCGCCCGGGCAGCACTCATGTGACCCTCCGTGGATTAACATTCGGCTGAAAAAAAAAAAAAAAACCCTCTGTTTTCTTTTTTCCTTTCACTTTTGAAAGGAGGAGAGCGCGATAGGGAGTTAGGGGAAGGGTGGGCGAGGGGCCCTGGGCGGCTGCTTTCGCTCTGAGCGAGTTGGGTCTTTGTGATATGAAATTCGCCGAGCGCCGCAAGCCGTGCTCGGCCAATGGCGCGCTCGGCGCCGGGCGCGGGCTCCGGGTTGGGGCGAGCGAACGCCGCGGTTTCTTTGTGTTTCTGCGAGAGCGACTCTCCCCGTCCGGCGTCAGATAACAGCTCGTGCCCGAGCCTGGCCGGCTTTCCCCGGCCCTCCCCGGCCCTCCCCGGGCTGCGCCGGCCGCCCGCTCCCCGCCTCTCCCCGGCTTCCTCTCGCCTCGGCCGGCCTGTCTCTCCGCCCTCTCCCTCCGTCTCTCTTCCTCCGAGCACACCGATTAGGATGCCGCCAGACCTCGGTTCTCAGCTTGTCTCTCACCGGGGGTGCCCGCGGGGCTGGGGTTGCGGGGTTGGGGGAAAGCGGTTCCGGGGTGGCCACAGGCCGTCCGGGGTGCAGCTTGATGTCTTTTGCAAAAGCGTCTCACCCTCCCCCCAGTCTCGCCCCTCCCGCTCCCTCTCCTCCAATCAATAAAAAATAGCCGTTTAGCAGTAAGGAAGAAAGATGCCCCCAGAATGCTCCATCCCTCCCATCGTGCCGGGGACCGCGAGGCAAAGCGGCCAATTCTGGGTCCTCGGCCGCCCAGCCCGGAGTGGGCCTCCGAGGCCAGTGTGCCGCCCTGGCCGCCAGAGCTTGCCTGGGTGGTGATTTGAGAGGAGTGCAGCCGGGCTCCCGGCGACTCCCAGGTCTGTGGCCCTAGCGCGCTGGTGAGAGGGGCAGGCCTGCCTGTTCCTGCGCCCCGCGGGGTCTGGGTCAGGTGGGGGTCGGGCTGGGGCAAACCCTGACGGGGGAGCAGGGGAACGAAGCTGGTCATTAACTGCGGAGTGTCTCCTTTCCTCCCTGCAGCGGTGCAGAGGGGCAGGATGCCGCCCACCCAGCCGACCCACGGGCAGTTTGCGCTGACCAACGGGGACCCCCTCAACTGCCACTCGTACCTGTCCGGATATATTTCTCTGCTGCTGCGCGCCGAACCCTATCCCACGTCGCGCTTCGGCAGCCAGTGCATGCAGCCCAACAACATCATGGGCATCGAGAACATTTGCGAACTGGCCGCGCGGATGCTCTTCAGCGCCGTCGAGTGGGCCCGGAACATCCCCTTCTTCCCTGACCTGCAGATCACCGACCAGGTGGCCCTGCTTCGCCTCACCTGGAGCGAGCTGTTCGTGCTGAACGCGGCACAGTGCTCCATGCCCCTCCACGTCGCCCCGCTACTGGCCGCCGCCGGCCTACACGCCTCGCCCATGTCCGCCGACCGGGTGGTCGCCTTTATGGACCACATACGGATCTTCCAAGAGCAAGTGGAGAAGCTCAAAGCGCTGCACGTCGACTCCGCCGAGTACAGCTGCCTCAAGGCCATAGTCCTGTTCACCTCAGGTAGGAAGGAGCCCTGCCCTCTCATGCCCATGCGCTCCTAGCTCAGAGTTAGGGCCTAAACTCTTCGGAGCCCCCAGAACTAGCCCAGCCTCCCCCTTAAAAAGCCAAACTGTCTGTGCAACTTGGAATGGGAACTTTGCATAGCTGTTGGGGCCCCACCAGGCCTGTCCTGGGGAGAGGGGAGAGGAGAGGAAGGCTGGGTTGCAGGAAGGATGCTTCAGACACAGACTCTCAAAATAGGCCATGGGGAAGCCTCTCAGGCCTGTTCCCCTCCCACCAGACTAGGATGCATGCTTCTGCTCCTTCCCTTAGCTCAGGCCCTCTGGGCCAGCTGAGCCTGTGGAATCTCCTCTACCCCATGGCTGTCTCTGTCACCCTGGCTGAACCTCTAGAAGATGCCCCTAGGCACTGGAGCAGTCTTGGTATCATCCCTGCAGGGGAAAGTTTGCCCCTGCAGGGGAAAAGTTTGCCTGCTAATTCAGTAGGAGTTGGAGCTCCAGGCACATCCAACCTGAGGGCAGCAATTTTCAAAATTATATTTTTATTAAAACAATGCAGACTGCCAGGAGAGGGGAAAGAGCTGTCAGAAAGGGGCAAGAGGAAGAAAGGGGCCATCATAACTCTTCAGAATGCCTGTAGGGGGTTGAAGACTCTGGCCTCTCGCTTCCCCTGCCCAGGCAAACAGTTAAGGCAATTTTCAAATAACCCAAAGTGTATGCCAACTTGGGCTGGGTATGAGTATTGCTTGAGATATAAAACCATCATTGACTGCATTATGAAATCTAATTAGTTTGTAGGTAGTTTAACCTGTGTGAGTAATAGACCTAATATTAATTAACTCTTGAGGCCAAACGATTGTTGAAGGTGTCTGGCTTACCACTTTGGGCCACACCTGAGCCTTTTGGCTGCCTCCAGGCTGAGTTCAGCAGAGCCCAGGTGGGTGGAAATCACCCCTTCCACATTCCTGTTC